AGTGAATCGCGAAGTTCTGCCAACCAAGGCCCAACTGACCCAAGGTACCTACCAAACAGGTTTCTACTTACCCCCGAACACGTCCGCAAGCAGGCCAAACTCCCTGTTCCTAAGCAGATACCTATATTTGGAGACTCGGTACCAGATCTTATTTTGTTTTGCTCAGTAATATTGCCAGTGTTGCATGTTAGCATACATTCACCATGCCACCGGTCAGTCACCTACCCCTTTCTTCCACCTGACTTCTGTCGTCGAACTCAGCTCACTAACATCTTCCACAGACACGAAGCCTACGACAGCGTACTGCTACTAATGAAAACGATGAGAATGCAACCGCAGCATCCACACGGCTCACCCGGGCCAAATCTGCCGCGCTATCTGTGCCTGAATCGCAAACCGGCGCGGTCAAGAAGGCCTTAGGCGCGAGAAACACGGTCAACACATCCTCTACGGCCCTGCAACGGAAGAGAGCTGCTCTCGGGGATGTGAGCAACGTGTCAAAGCAGGATAACGGTGATAGCAAGCAGCTCAAGAAACCATCTGCCTCTCGCGCAACACTCACTTCCAAGACCTCAACTCAGACAGGGGGCGTACAGAAGGTTACCCGCACAAACACCACAAGAACTGCCTTGGGAGTCAAGGACTCGAACAAGAGAGAAACCACCACAGAACCTAAGCGTCCTGGCAGCGGCTCCGGCGTCATGGGCGGTCTCCAAACAAAACGTCACAGCCACAAGCCTGCTAGAGCTGACAGTGTTGTCAGTGAAGAACCACCGCGCAAGAAGCATGACAGCGGGAAGGATGTCTTGAAAACAGAAGAAAAATCGGAGGACGAGGCAGAAGAAAAGGAAAAGGTTGAGGTCAAGGTTGAAGTTGAGACTGAAGCCAGAGTGGATGTTGTCGATTCCCAGGAGTCCGTCCAGGATGAAGTCAAGGAAGAGCGAGACGTTGACGTCGTGATAGACTTGGATGCTGAAGACCTTTACGACCCCATGATGGCCACAGAGTACGTTGTTGATATTTTTGAGTATCTCAAGGAGCTCGAGCCTATCACCATGCCCAACCCTGACTACATGGACCACCAAGACGAGCTAGAGTGGAAGATGCGTGGTATCCTGGTTGACTGGCTCATCGAAGTCCACACCCGCTTCCGTCTCCTCCCAGAGACCCTCTTCCTCACAGTCAACATCATTGACAGGTTCCTCTCTGCCGAAGTTGTCACTCTTAACCGACTCCAGCTCGTTGGCGTCACCGCTATGTTCATTGCTTCCAAATACGAAGAGGTTCTCTCACCACACGTTGCCAACTTCAGCCACGTTGCCGATGATACTTTCTCGGATAAGGAGATTCTCGATGCTGAGAGACACATCCTCGCAGTTCTCAACTATGACCTCAGCTATCCTAACCCAATGAACTTCCTGCGCAGAATATCAAAGCCTGACAACTATGATGTCCGAACGAGAACGCTTGCCAAGTACCTTATGGAGATCAGCTTGGTTGACCACAGGTTCATGAAGTACCGTCAATCACATATTGCTGCTGCTTCCATCTTCCTTGCTCGTGTCATATATGAACGTGGCCCATGGGTATGTCATTCTATTTCTCCTTCCTTTCACTTGTGTTTATCTAACCTCTACCTTAGGATGCAACTATTGCTTATTATTCTGGTTATACCAAAGAAGAGATCATGCCTGTGTATGAGTTGCTTATTGATTACCTCTGCCGACCACCTGTCCATGAAGCATTCTTCAAGAAATATGCCAGCAAGAGATTCCTCAAAGGTACACCACCACCAGTCCATCTCTCTGTCATGACTTATCGTACTAACTATGCTTAGCCTCCATAATGACTCGACAATGGGCAAAACAGTACCACGCCATCATGAAGGCCAAGAACAATGCTGCCCGCGAACAAGACCCGAAACCCAAGTCGAAGGTCGCGTCGTCATAGTCATTTCACGATTCCGGGCTAGATGAGAAACACTCTCCTGCTTGATCCACCTCCCCTTTACGAAAACGTCTGTCAATAGTCACTCCCATTTATCCTCGCCCTGCAAGGCTGCCACTACGTATTGTACCTATCACTGCACTAATTCTGCATGTGTATACATACATAAGCCGTCTTCTACCCTTATTCTCATCCTCATCCAGCACTTTGTTGTTTGGCGTTATCTTGCTTTGCTTTTTTCTTGGGATGTATTGCTTGTGGGTGGCGTTGTGCATTTGGAAAGCATACTCGAGCCGTTGTGTTTGTCTTAATCTTCCTCCTTGCCTCGAATTCCCTTCACTTCTCTTTCTCTTCTTTCATCCGTTCTCAGCCTGTCTCCTCGGCGATCTCAGGCGTTAGGCGACCAGGCTGAAGTGGAATTCTTTATCGTCTGCTTTAAGCTTGCTCCTCCCCACTACCATCAATCCTCCTTATGCTTTACCGTTCCTGCTACCTGAAACAACCTCTTCACCCCTCCAAAAAGGTACCCTTTCATGTCTATTCTATTCCAAATCTCTTGTTCTCTGAGTGCCTGGTTGAACCATTTTTTAAAGCTTGTTTGAACTATTTTCTTTAGGGGGAGGAATGAACGGACACGGATGGACGAACAAACGGTCGGCGAGGGACAGGAGCAAGGAGGGAAATTCGAAACGGAGCAAGGAAGTGACAAAAGAATCGATTGATACTTGGCTCTCATTGTTTCTTCTGCCACCTTCCCCCCCCCCCCCCCCCCCTTTTTCCTTCGGCTTTCTCTTCACTGGTTTTTGCTTCTAGCTTAGTTACAAGGTGGTGTGGGCGGGTGTTCTAGCGACTTTTTCTTATTAATGAAAATATGTGGGACTACCAATTGCCTCTCCTTGCACTCGTATCTCCATAGATACAGGTACGTACAAGGTAAATAAGAATGTAAACAACAGCCGGGCGTAGATGATCAACTTGTTCCCCGTCTATTTACCTCCACCCTTCGCGTTGTTGTTTGTTGATATTCGTCCCATTTAGGTTATATTGGCTGCTGACTCATCACTTTTTGAACCTCGGCTCAACTTCAGCCGCTCAAATGCCTTTTGTTGCTCTCAT